TTTCTAAGCATTGTTGAAACTGCTTTAAGGGTTGAAACCATGTCACCGCCTCAAAAACAACCTCTCATTAAAAAAAACTGACAAAGGCACTAGAGTTAAGAGACAAAACCTTGTTGCAGTATCAAAAGATTTGTCAGAAACTCACTTCAACATTGAACAAAACCGGTCACTGATTAATGAAATAGAGTTAAAATAATTTTGACTTGCGATATTAAAGTTGCAAATATGTTTTGCGGTCTTTAAACCCATTCAAATTTAAACCCCCTTGTATTATGGTGTAACGTCAAATCTAAGTGTCTTGCCAAATTGGGAAACTTGTGAATACTTAGCTCTATTCAAATCTAGCATTAAGTCTTTTCAGCAATCTTGCGGGTTTGTTGCTCGTGCAATGTTGTTTGGCAATGTCATTTAAAAGAAAATTATCATTGAGTCTGAAAACGTTCTGATTTTGGAAACAATCTCACCGATGGAATTGCATCTCCTTATTGGAGTTGTCAATCATCTTTTCAAAATACTTAAAACTTCTCGGATAGAAGCTGCTAAGTGGTCAGCTGCCTTACACATTCAACTAAGCCCGTATCAAAAGGGCCCGTTTGAAGGAGATGAATGCAGGTAGTTTCTTAAAAATGTGGATATGCTTCAGCAACTTACTGGTACAAACTCTTAGTAATTATGAATTCTAACCTTACTTCTAACTAACCTTAACTCCCACTCTTATGCTTTACTCTCAGGGACGTTGTAGGTTTGAACTTTTTACCTTTTTTCTACAAAGTGAGCACTTTACTACTACTTCAGTACACCATTCATTAAGTGACTTGAATGCTTAACAACATGATGCTTTCAATATGATGCAAACCTAGCAGTTTAGCTTATTATGGTTCTTTTCCTGGATTGTACAAATTTCATTTTTAGAGCATAATGAGTGCATTAACCATGAAGGTTAACTTTAAATCTGCCTGGCATTGTATTTGGTGTAACTGGTCTGTTAAATGCTATTAGCGTAAAGACTTTCTTGTGTTGTTACTTTAAAGCCAAAAGAAAGATAAATAATATTATACTGCTTGCAACTCTATTATACAGCCAGGTTTATAAACCACTTGCTTAATAGCAAAGGTGAGAAATATAAACAATAATTTAATACTTATATATAAACCTATTTTCCATACCAGAAACTTAACAAATCAATTGCGTAAAACTCATCATAGCTATTTATAAAACTGCAAATCAGAATAACAACTATTTTTTTAATCATCTCAGAGAAGTTCTTGATTTTTACCAACTATCATATAATGGTTTTTTGCGAATACGCCAAAAACCATTATATGATAAACCATTCTATGTGTATTGATATATATATGTATTAATCTATACATGAAGATTTTATAATTGATTTAAAACGAGTTGGTAGTTTGATTAAATTACTATATTGATAAAGACGAAGAAATTCCTTTTTCTTTGTAATAAATATTTTTTTTAAAGTTTGTAAACTAAAATCTACAATACGCGTATTGTAGATTGCGCGTTTAACAATACTTTTTGAAAAACTCTCAATCTATTTGCACCTTTAAAAGTTAAAATTCTTTGAGGTAGCGATAAAATTCTTTGAAGTAGATAAAATTCTTTGAGGTATATTCGTATACTACCAATTTGTCATAAAAAACATACAACTTCTATTTCACAAACGTTTTATTGTCTCTAAATAATTGTAGAGTTTTCTGAATAGTTGTGAATTAAATAAGATATGCCATTTTAGTATAAAAACCAATTTAGTATTATAAACATTAAAAACATATAAGAAATTTTCTCAAATTTTTAAGTTTCATCAAGTTAAGGGAAAGAGGGGGTATTGTCGAACAGTTGAAATGGAATGCGAATTAAAGACCAGTTATGCGAAATTGATTATATTTATTGCCTTTCATTCAAAGATCTTCAAAAACATTTATATAAATCTTATTATAAAACAAAAATTTAGGGCAAAAAAAAACATTGGTGTTACGAACGTACGTGGGATAATTATTTATACACTGTATGGTAATCACAAATACTGTTGTGTAAAAGGTTATAAAGTACTAAATGTAACAGTTAAGTGCAAAAATCATACTATGCAATAACAGCAACATAAGAAATGGTTTTATATTCATAGTAGCTTTAATAGGAAAGTTACTCAAGAAAAATGTTGCGTGAAATTATAAGAAAAAATTAAAATCAATTTATCATGAACAACAATTGTAGCTTCACTACACTACTGCACATCTGAAACTCAGCATGGTATCCCCTCTCAGCAAGTAAAAAAAATTGTCAAATATCTTTTCATATTATGTCGTTTAGTCCATGTTTGAAGTTACCCCAATTAACCTCTGATTATACCACTTGACTTATTGGATCTTTAAATACTGAAAAGAAAGCTAGTGGTGATATCTCAACATTTTCTTAAATTAAATATTTATTAATTAATAATAGCATATCTCAAAATTTTTTAAGCCAATTGGTAGGCTTAAAAACTGCAATGGTCTGTTTGTAAATGTAGGTAATGTAAAATTTTTTTCGAACCACTAATGTTAAACTTCTCAGTGTAAGAATTAACGAGGATTTATATTTTGATGATTATGTTAAAAATCTATGTAGAAAAGCAAACATAAATGGTTTGCTCTCTCGCGTATAAGTAACTTTTCATCACAAAAACAAGCTACTTTCTTATTCAATGATTTTATTTTGCCTAATTTTTCATACAGTCTTTTGATTCAGATGTTCTGCTTAAAATATGATAACAACTTTTACAATATTCATAAAAAAGTACTCCACATTGCTTATATGAGGTTTAATTATTTATTGGATGATTTGAGGTTTAATTATTTATTGGATGATATGAGATAAATTATTTATTGGATGATATGAGGTTTAATTATTTATTGGATGATATGAGGTTTAATTATTTATTGGATGATATGAGGTTTAATTATTTATTGGATGATATGAGGTTTAATTATTTATTGGATGATATGAGGTTTAATTATTTATTGGATGATATGAGGTTTAATTATTTATTGGATGATATGAGGTTTAATTATTTATTGGATGATATGAGGTTTAATTATTTATTGGATGATATGAGGTTTAACTATTTATTGGATGATATGAGGTTTAATTATTTATTGGATGATATGAGGTTTAATTATTTAAGAGTAGTATATTGGTACTGGCAATTATTAGTACGATAGTTGTTCATTTCTAAGTCATACTTTTAAATTTAAAAGGATTTCAAGATTCTGGCTTAAAACTGATATAACTCAAAATTTTTTAAATTTTTCGCAAGATTGATTAATGCCTATAAACATTAGTCAAGTTTAATTACGCGAAAAAAAAGTTAAACCACCCAGTGGTCAACACCCACTAAAAAATAGGCTGAGCAAACACTAATTAAAGTGCCAAAAAAGAGTCTGAAATGATTATCTATCTTTCCTTTATATATGAAGGAAGTTTGGCTACCGTAAACATAAAAATAAACGATGATTTGGAGCAAAAAGAATTTCGTAAATCCGCTTAAATCTTAGGACCACAAGAAACGCATGACAAATGTGATGTATTTGAAATTTTTTTTTCGTGTTGACATTGAAATAGTTAAAATAAATGTACAATCATTTAAAATCAAAAAATTGAAAGGGAATTGGGGAGTAGAAGAGGTGTCAAAGACTGGAAGCAATTTATTATGTTTTCTAGTATTCGACGAAAAAAAAAAACTATTTATTATCATTATTACTTTATCGTATAATAAGGGTTCTGTATAAAAAGGGTTCTTGCATATTATATGTAATTTTAGCTTTTAATGTTTGAAACTAACTCTTCAATAAGTTATTGAATTTTATTCCAGTCTTCAACAAGACCGCATTCTAGTCATCGACGGAAAAAAAAATTTGTTTGCTAGGATTTTTAGAGATTTACTATAAAAAAATATTACTTTCTGGATTGTTATGATTGTTAAACAACAATTATTATGGACCTATGAAGGTTCGTAAAGTTTGGAATTATTAATGTTTTGTAAAGTTCTATTTGCACAATCGTTAACGATTGCAGGTTGCAATCGTTAATTCGTTGATCGAGTGATTTAGAAGAATATAAACACATTTAATTACAATACAAACATTTATTTAATTGAGAACTCCTTTGTTCAGAATTAATCCCAAGGGATTAACAGTGTTGCAGCTTGAAACACTGTTAATAAATAAATCTCTAATATCAATCTTATCTCTATTTTAATCTGTCTCGGCTTTGTTTCCTGCTCTGTGTTTTGACATTAAATTAAAAGTAAAATAAAGCTAAGGTGTCTCCTAAAATAACCAGCTGCTTTGTAATGGCATCAAGATCCCGATATACTGAGAATGACGGTAACAATTCAATTGAAGACGTTAAGAGTTAAATTGGACATTTTTAATGTTCTATTAGTTAATTAATTCTATAATCAGTTTTTTCTGTAGTCAAAGCCGAAAGTTTAAATAAGTACTTAAATTTTTAAAAATTTAATAAGTGTCAAATACTGAAAGAAAAAAAACATCGAACTTAGGATGGCGTCTAGTGTTTGACATTTTGATATTTTGGGGGCTCTAAACCTTTTTTTTATTTTGGATGTCATTCACTCAAAGTGTATTGTAAAGAGCAACTATCCCTTTACGCAAAAAAATATTGATATCAATATTTTATGAAATAATGAGTGAAAAATTATTATTTATATAAAACTATGCAAAAACAGCGTCGAAACACTGGGTGGTTTACCCTTAAGTTACTTTCTTTTTATTTTGAAAGATAGTTTGACAAAAATATAGATTTAATCCTTTCAGTTTTCTGTATTTCTAAAATTTTGAACAAAACCAAAATGTTCTTGGTATTCAAAAAAACTTTCTTACTATTTTATAAAATTTTCAATTTTTGAGGTATTTGTGTCCAACCTACTAAGGTGCTCAATCAATTTAACAACTAAACTTGTTTATAACAAAGGCATAACTTACACCTGTCCTCCACTGAAATAAAATATGACATAGTCTGTCTCATTGTGACGGCTCACAAACCGGATGCAAGTTTTTGTCTCCCACTCAAGAATTGCGTGATTAAGGTTTGTTAGCGCTTGAGTCTTCGTCAAATCTTCAACTGTAAAAAAATTAAATTAGTTCATATGGTTAAATATTATTAAGTTTGCTTCATAATGGATAAAAAGTTGCAAATTACGAACCTTCTAAATGTTTTTAAACTTTTTTGCACTTTATATTTTTTAGGACAGCAAATATTTTGTTAAACCACAAATATCTTAATAACTTAATGATAAATCAGCCTTCAGATATTAGTGAAAAATAAAGATTAAAACACAGAGGCAAATTTGAGAGTTTTAGGCATTTTATATATGCATATTTCAGGAATGTTCAAATTTTTTTAGGCTTACATTCAAGTCATATGAGAATATTTTGCAAAAATCACGCTAATTTGGGCAGTTAAATAGAAGATCAATAAATATATGCTCATTTTACATTTCCAAGTAATAAAATATATAATATATATAATAATAAATAATATTCGTTTAGTAAATATATATTGGTTAAAAAAATAAATTGGAAACGAATATATTTTTGTTCAAAGATTATATATTTGTTAAACGAATATAGGTTTATATATTATGTTATATTGGAACACTACGAATACTTTAAATCAATATTTTTAATGAATATTCGTTCACGAATAATTTCTACGAATGGAAATGGAATATCAAATTTTAAGAGAACTCATGCTTTCAAATGTACAACAATAATATTTTAGCTGAATCTTATTTATTTAAAAAGGTTGGGTGATTCAAAAAAGTTGGATAGTTTAAAAAGATCAGATGTTTTGACGTGACCGCATTATTGAATCAGCTAATATTAAAAGATTTACTGATATCTTTACTGTCTCAAATAGTATAATGGTATCTTAGTAGATATCTATGTTGATTTTTACTAATATCTTTACTGATCAACTTTTACTGATCTTTACTGATATATTTAGTGGTCTACTTTACTAAAATCTGGAAGTTAGTACATCTGCAAACAAAATTGAAATTCAAATTTTAGAAAAATATTTAATTTAATTCACGCTCAAATAATGCTAAAAAATTTAAATTTAAATTTTTTATATATATATGAGAAATAGACGTGGTCCAAAAATTAGCTCTTGAGGAATACTACAAATAGTGTGTAATATATGAGGGAGGAACTGGTTATGAGACATAACCAGTTCCTCCCTCATATATTACACACTGCCTTCTATAAGTTAAATAGCTCTTAAATCAGAACAAACTACAATTTAAAAATTAAAGCAAAAGTATTTTTATTTTACCGTACTTTATTTTATATTATTGTACAAAACTGCAAACTTTCACTAAACAAAGCTGGTCAATCATTCAACATACCAGTTGCAACTCTTCAAAAATGTGAAACAACTTGTTGTGGTAGTTCTAAAGAACATACACTTTTCAAGGGTAACCCTCACAATCATTGAAGTTTGTTAGCAACCATAAAAAAACCAACTATTTTGTTTATTTTTTGGAAATTGCAATAATGCTGCTGGTAAATGTTTTGCTCCATGCGTAATTTTAAATTCTAAAAAGTCTTCATCCTTTCAACCATCAAAACTATGTCAGTATTATCACCAGCACCATCACTAGCACTAGTAACTACTATATTTCAGCCACTGTCTTTTTAATCTACAGCAACAATCAATACCTCTTAATTAATTTAAAAAATTAATTCAACAAAGTCTCCAGCCAAATTTTACCCAAGTAACCCCAACTATTCAAAACAACTTAATAATAATTCAATAGCTGAAAAACTATTGCAATCACCCAATTTCTTAGAGCATTTTGTTACAAATTTTTTGCATTTAATAAGTTGATCCAGAAAAAAAAGTAAATGCATCAAGGTTCGAAGGCGACTGTCTTGATAAGCCCAAATTACTTGAAACCGAATAGTTCTATTCAAGTAATGTGTTCTAGAAACAGAATAAATATTTGTTAATGGTACCAGTGTGAAAATTTGAAATGCAAGGATAGGCTGGTCAAGCTTGCATAATAAAGACATCAAATTTTGATGTCTCGATTGCATTAAAAAGTGCACGAGAGATAACTTAACTCCAGAACTGCTCGGTAACCATATTTCAATCTCCTCAAATGTGAGAGTAGAACGAAATTTTTTTTTTCTTTTAAATAAAGCTTTAAAAAACTAAAAAAAAAATTCAAATCAGAATTTTATATAATTAGACAAAAATAAAAATTCTCTACAACTAAAAAAAAATTAAAATCTTTTGCTTGTAAAAAAAAAAAAAAAGTTAAACTGTTCCATTTGACTTAATTTTGATGATTAGATTTTAAATAATAAAAATTTTTAAAAAGTTCTAACTTGTTTTGTGATACTCCACTGTAAATGGAATGACTCCATTAGTCCATAACTCTCTTTTATAATTGAAATATTTATCAGCCGTTTCGAAATTCAACCAGTCATTCTTTTCTGCATATATCAATTATTTTATAATTAATTAAATCGTTTTTAAATACTATTGAAGTAATTTTGTCAATAAAATTAAAAAAAAAATTAATTTAAAAACATGTTTTTGTAAAAGTACTCACTGACGTCATTTTTTAAAGTATTTGGTTTCTCTGTTGATTTTATTTGATTAATCTGTCTTTGGAAACTTTTTGTTACATAAATTGTCAACAATGCATACCAAAACATTTTTCTATTATTTCTTTACTTTTTAAAAAATACTTCATGACTAAAAGATTTTGGGTAAAAAAAATGTTATTAACGTAAAATACATAAAAAACTGTGAAATGAACACATATTACTCTTAACACTTATTATTTGCTTTTTACCGTCGGATGGTAAAAAAAATCATACAATGACTGCTGAAATTTAAGATGGTACTTAAAAACTTTTTTTTTGTTTTAAGAGTACATTCTATAATCAGATTTCATTTTTTTATGTTTGCTCAAACTGTTTTCTAAGCTTTTAATATTCAAAATACTACAGTTATTTTGGTTGTAAATATTTTTTTTTCGGGGTTGTTTCATTATCATGAAGTAGATTACCTTGTTGCGTGTTTCCAGCATTTTATTGGAAGATTGTTTACATTTTTCAAGTTTCAAACCAATTATCGTAAAAGTAAATATAAAGAAGTAATATATAATATAATATCAAGCTAATTATATAAGTATTATTCTTTTACATGCAAATTTATAGATTTTCTTTAAAATTACATATTTACTATGAGTTTTGCAGTGAAAGGCATCACAAATTAAATGGAAAAGTTTGATTATATATACCTCAACTATACCGCAGTTTGTTTAGACGCACAAATGCATTTTTAAAACATTTTTGCGAGTGCAATTTAAATTAATTTTGTTTTCTTTATTGGCAATTAATGAAGTTTTTTTTACTTGATTTTACGGAAGTAATCTCTTTACCACAACAGTGGCAGTTGTAAAAAATAACGACATCGACGTCAATATTCTAACGTACGCTAGGATAAGCTTTTAATAAATTCGAGTATTAAAAGCAAATATTTAAATCATTGTAAACAAACTTCTTTTTATATTGTTGTAATACTAGTTAGTCAATATTTTGTAAACGTACATTATTTTGTCTAAAAATGACTGCAAACATCATTAATAAAATTTTCTTTTTCTTTTCTAAGGGTATGTATATGTATGTATGTAAAAATGTATGTATGTAAATGTAAATGTAAATGTAAATGTAAATGTAAATGTAAATGTAAATGTAAATGTAAATGTAAATGTAAATGTATGTAATATATATAAATGTAAATTATAATTCTTTATAACTGGCTGATAAATCACCTTTCAAATTAATTTTATTTAAAACTGAAATTAAAATATCACATATCTAAAAAAGTATGAAAACTAGAGTAAATACTTTTAAGTCTAAAAACTGTGTCTAATTATAGGTTTACACTTCTGTAGTAACTACCAAAAGATATTATCTCTGTGAGAGCTTTATTTTCGCAAGTTGCTGAAATTTACTGAGAAATATTAATTATATATGTTTCGAAAAAATAGTTTTATTCAAAAAGTAGTAACATTCACAAAAATTTTATTTTTATTTCGTTGCGTTATTTAAGGAATATTATTCAAGGATACAGCTAACATGGTTACATAAATGGGTTACTCGATTTATCTCGATGAATTTTATCGGGGATTTGATTTATCTTGGTTGATGTTGCCGGGGATTTGATTTATCTTGGTGAATATTACCGGGAATTTGACTTATCTTGTTTAATGTTGCCGGCAAATTGATTTGTTTAGTGATTTTTATGACAAGGTATTATAAAAGGTTTAACAGTTTTAGTTTAACAATAATACTTAAAACCTCTAGACAATTTAAATTGTCTGGAGAATTTTAATTATTATTGTTAAGTTTTTGGACAAAAAACTTAACAATAATAATTAATAAAAAACGTATTAGGTAACTAAAAAGTTTTAGATTTCATTATGTACTTAAAAAATAAACGAATTGAAATCAAGTATTGAAATGTAACGCAACAAACTAAAAGATTAACAACATAATTTAAAGTATAACAAATTTTCAACAAAAAATAAAATTAAAATAAATTTGCAAAAAAATAGAAATGTATCATGTGTCAATAATAATTTTTAAAGAATTTGTAATATTTATTCATTTATATGAGATATTTTATATCAGTCTTTTTGTATTTAGAGACTCTATGATTTTTAGAAAGATATTTTTTTCCTTATAATAAGTTTTGATTAATGTTTCGCATTAAATTTGTTCTTGGAACAAGAAGCTAGTCAAAAAGGATCGAATTTGCCGACTATATAAACAAAAAAAATTATTGATGGGGGGTGAGAGATCCGTCCTTGCCATACAATCAAATAAACTACATAAACGATACCACGCAATTAATTAAATTAAAACTGCGATATTATTTGAAACATTAAATGATAAATATGATATGATACGATGCCACACAATCCTTGAGAATTTCTACTATAGTAATATATAGGGGAGAGTCGGGAGAAGTGTGATCGCAATATCTCCCGATGTGTGGTAAAAGCCACATTTTTGAAAATACCTGGAAAAAACAATTTTTTGAGGGAGGAAGTGGGACAAAGAAAATTGAATATTCTTTTATTTATTATATCAATTTTATGTAAATTTTTGTGGATTGAATATTCTTTTTTTTTTTCTTTTTCATTTTTACGTGTTTTTTTACAACTACAAATTATTTGCAATCAAAGTAACCAATCACAAATTGACCGTAAAAATATACAAATATAAATATTATTAACATAAAGTCCAAAATATGCAAAGTAAATAAAAATATAGTTACATAAAACTCCGGGACGTGAATAAAATAAATATCTTTGCAACCTTCATCGCAATTTTATTTTATCTTTTTATTTTTTTAATTTAATTTAGGTGCCCCAAAAAGTCCTTACGGTTTTATCACAGAGCACTGCGGATGAGCATTTAATCGGAAATTCACGCCTCCTTCCTAACCGATGTCGCAAAACTTGCCCAGGGGTGGGGTTTGAAAAACGGATTCTTTGTTTCTGAGGCAAGTGCGCTACCACTGCGCGACGGCTACTTTAATTAATTTATTAATAAAAGTTAAAGATCATTTTTATTTTTATGCGATTTTTATTGAGTTTACATTTTTATTGAACTATGATAATTTTTGGTTTAAAATAAGATATATAAATATTTGGTTTAATTGAATTAATTAAACTCTTAAAAAAGTTATTCGAAGCAGTTTCTATATAAAAAAAATATTTGTCCATTATCAGCAATAAGTATCTGTTGTCAGTTTTTATATTTTATTGAAGTTTTGTTGTTGTTTTTGTTAATATTAAATACATTTTTAAAAAAGATTCCTGTCTATTGAATCGTCTATTTTTATTCTGTATTGTTTTTATTTTATATTATTTTGTTTTTAGAATATTATTTTTAAATAACCCTGAAAGAACCTTTTCAGAGTATATTTGATTAATTAATTGTTAAGTAAAAATACAGCATTATTTCCGTAAATGTATTTTAAATGGCTTTAAAAAGTAAATAGTAAAAGTTACAAAAATTTAACAAAATTTTTGCCTGGCCTACGCTACCCAAATTGTATGTTGACAATGTGCCTTCCAGTTTTACTTGCATGTTAGCAACGAGTTGTTTATCTTTATGGCCTCAAGCAAACTACAGAATTCTTTATCATCGATGCCTCAACATTCACTTAGTTCAGCAGTCTCAGCCTCTTATAAAGAGTCTGAGACTGCTGAACTAAGTGCACTTCATAAATTCTTCAATTAATCTATTACCAGACTCAAAGGAGAGAGCTAAATTTAAAAGCCTTGCACAGGAAACTGCAAGCGTGTCATTTTTTTTTTAAACCTGGTATAAATGTCTGATGCATTGGAAAAGATCAAATCTTTTTTTAGAAATTTTACAATTGAAATATTTCACACTCGCAAAAGCAATTCACGTTTTTTATTTCGTATCATATCTATCTTCAAATGGAAAAAATTTAGCCTAGGTTTTTGAAAGCAAACTGGCCTTTAAAAGTTTATTAAGATTTCAATATATCAGAAGAAAGAAATCAACCTTAAGTTTAGCTACTAATAAGTTTTATGACACGCATAGAATCTGTACATCACATCCCAATTACAATCAGATCTCAAATTCAGTACTTTGAACAATATTTATGGCCAAAATATCGTCCAAATGAATTACAAATTTCACGAAGCTCTGCTGAAAAGATTATAAAACTTTCTGCTTAATTATTTTTCTCTAACGAAATAGCAGTATTGTAACTTTAAGGATCATTTTAATGGTTAAGAATATGTAACCGCTTCTTTTGATTATATTTTCCAAATATTAGAATGACTCAGATTGCCATAGGTAAAATATCTGTTTTTTTCATCAATTATCATACCTGTGAACAATGCAGAATGTGAAAGGGACTTTTTAATCATCTTTACAGATGTAAGAGGCCTATTGTCAAGAAAACATATATCATGAATTGTAATATACCGGTCTACTTTATTTCCAATTCTTCTTTAATCCCTGCGTGTTACATATATATGCTATTATTATTATTATAATTATTATTATTTTTATCTTTTACTGTTAAAAATTACTTTATTTTTTATTTTTTTTGTTATATTTATTTTTAAATTTTTAATTAGAATTTAAACAAGTTCCTTATAGTTGTTGAATTTGATTATTGTAGATTTTAGCTTTGTTTTCAGAGAGTGTTGTTTTTTTACATTTTATTGTGATTCATTTCTGGAAATTATTTTGTTAAATAAATAGGGACCATGGTATGTAATTGTTGTTTCAAGCGGTACCATAAAGCTCCATGTAGCGCTTATATTGTATTTATTTATATTGTTTTTAAAAAAGTGTGCTGTAAAATTTTCTGAAACTAGACTTAATTTATATTTAAACATAAAAGATATACTGTGTGTGTTGTGTGTTTATTTGTTCCAGTATGGGCTGAGCATGAGTAAGTTTGTTTTTGTTGTACACTAGTCTTGAAGCGTGTTTTTGACGTAAGTAAAGTGGTTCATTATTGTTTTAAAAATATTAGAGGCATTTTGAAGATTGTTTATATCAATAATAAACAAAAGAGAAGAAAGAATAGAACCTTGGGGAATACTACACTTTGTTTTTAGTAAATTTGAGTTGCTTATTCTATTTACAATAACACACTGTTGTCTGACGTTAAGGTAGTTTTTAAACCATTTTATAGCTTGAT